GCCAGGACATGACCCCCTACTACCTCAAAATAAAGACAACATAAGGAAAATAGTTAAAGTCTAAAACAATGGAGTCTCCAAATGAAGAGGACTCACCAGAAGCTAAATGGAAGTACTGCAACCTCACTAGCCACGAATTTGAGTGCGAATATTGGGATCTACATCATAAAAAGATGCAGCGCAAAGAAATATATGCGTCAGTACGTAGAATGTGTTGAGTAAGTAAGGGGGGACACTGTCATATTCAATTAAAGAATCATACACAAGATAGTGAAATAAGATTTCCAAGATCATATATATAGTAAAAGTTTTGAAGAGAAAACAGTTAGAGTCCATGATCAAGTATCATAAAAATCTCTTTTCAAAAGTACATATGCATATAGGTGAGTCATTTTCAATAGTCTTGCATAATCATATACATAAAATAACATACTTAAAATGAACCATATAGACCTAAAAACATATCATAAAATTTGCATAATTAGGGAGTTTCTTATAACCGACATACATCATATGAGCTCATGATGTCCAACAGCTAACCCAGTTGGGAATGCTGCCCTATACCTTGCTAGAGTATAAGACCATATCATATCTATGTGGATCCACTAATCTGAGCCTCTCAGGGTCAGAAGGTCAACCGACAAAGCGGGTAATATAATCCTACGTTGGCGCCTAGTTATGGGACTTGGGTTTTCTAAACCCGCATCCTCGCAGTACTAAATAATCCTCCCAAAACAATATATATTCATATAATGCTCATAGGTATGAAAACCATTTATCGTCTTGAATTATATATGAGGCTAAGCTCAAAAGTCATATCTTAAGATAACCTGTATTTCGGTTGTAATTCATATGATGCTTGTTTTCATGCTTAAAATCCATAAGAGTTTGAATGACCATAAAAATCATGCTAAATTAGTACCATAAGGTTTGAAAATAAAAGTGAAACAATGAAAAACATAGTTTACTGAAGAAAGATCATAATTTCATAAAAGCCCTTACAATAATCATGTGAAATTATTGAGAACCAAAATACTTTAAGCATGAGAGCGAAGGAACACTCTCATTGAAGTCTTACATACCTTAACTTTGAAGTTTGAGGAAGAATCGGGATTGAAATCTCTAAAATTCTTGTAGGTCTGGTTCTTCGAAGTGTTGGGAAGGAAAAAGAAGGAGAAAAGTTTATCGTAACTTATCAAATCTGAACGAATAAGGGTTTTGGGAGAGGTTAATATGGTTAGGGTTTTGGGATGAGGAAAGGAAGAAAACACCCATCGTAGAATGTGAAAAGAAGAGAAAACTATAAGAATTTTTGGAAGCGAGCGCAGCCGCACAGCTGAAGCCTTAATCGCGTGGCACTTCGCGCACACCTAGTAGTAGCACTGCCTTTGCCGCACGGTCGCGCGGCGGACGTTCACTCCACGCGCTGGTTCGTGTAGACTACGTAGTGCCTAAGAAAATGGGCATAACTTTTAGCACATAACTTGGATTGACGAACAGTCAAAAACATATGAAAGAAGACTTCAAGGCCTTTTATTTGCTGGCCTTTTATTTAGTTGGTATTACGCTACAAAAAATCTTTATATTTTAGGAGGTGTGATTGATTGAAGTTGATCATTGAATGAACTTACACGAAAAACTTAATTGTTAGGAACTTGTCAACTTGACTTTGTGCTAAAGGTTCATTATTACCTTAACTCACATCTAAAACACTTTTAATACTTAGAAATGGACTTTAACATATATGAACAAGTAGTATATTATCCGACCCAAGTTGATACACTTACGACAACCTAGTCGAATTCTAAGAATAGAGTTATGAGGTGTTACACATAAGGAAACAATTATCGTGTCTAGAACTCTTCACAATTTTTGGATGCAGTTCGAGAAGACAACATCAGGACATTTGGATGCAATAGAAAGTTAGAAAAGAACTTCAACTAAATTTAAATTTTAACTAAAGACACTAGAATCATATTTCACTAAATTGTCTTAGATAATTTTGTAACTTTAAAGAATTATTAATTTGTAATATTAATGGGACCATATATTTATATAGGGTATTTTGAAAGTATATTATCTTATCGAAATTGGTATTTTTTTCACTGGCCCAAGTCAGGACTCGAAGAAAAATATTATGTTATAGAGTTTATTAATTTATTGAGTAATAATTTAGAGAGGTTCTACTATAGTTTGTTGGTAATCTCTTACTAATTATGCACATATTTTTTAAATCTTATTATTGATGTAGTTATAATTAAAAATCATAGACAATTAAATTGATAGTTACTTTCTATTCCTTAATTTGTCTAATTCATATCAATTTGAATTAATGATGCTTTAATATTGATTTTATAAGATTGTCTTCAATTCCTTGAGATGTTTTCTTAAACATTTGAAGATTAAACTAAATAGATTATCAAATAATTAAATTTAGAAAAATATGTCAACTTTGAATGTATTCTAAATGTAGCAATCACTATAATATTGGTTTTTGTATTTAAAAGTTTTATGAAATATTATATAAATACAAAAAAAAAATGATACTCAAATTGGCATATTCAATGAAGTGAAGTTTTAATTTTATTTTTGAACACTTTTAGAATAATTTTAATAGTTTATGTAACAGTTGAGTCATATTGGAAAAGTTTTCAAAAGTATAACCAATAAGAGAGATTTAAACATTTGTGTTGTTATGTAACGTACAATAATTTATATATGTTTATTCTTGTCTTGCAAAATATTACAAGAAATGTTATACTGAGAATAAAATATATATAAAAAAATTAAATAAATGTAATACAGATTTCTAAATTTTGGATTTAGGTCATCCATTCTATTGAGCCACCCCTGATTATAGGTTCCTGATTCAAATTCATTTAAGTTACTAAATTTTTTAAGGTGCATGAAAATTGGTCCACACACAATAATTATCCAAAAACTAAAGTCACTGAGTTCTAAATTAATAGTTTATTAATATTCAATACATCTTTTAACACAAATACATCATTTGGACCAAAAGTTAACTCAATACCACACATTCAATTACAATATCAGAAATCACAATATACAAAACCACTCAGTAACGGAATAAAAGAGCAAAAATGATATATAGAGACGGTGGAAAGGAATTATCGGAAAAACCTCACCGGTATGTATGACAGAAGAGCGGTGATGGATGAGTTGCCGGAGAAGTCGTCGATGGGTATGTATGACGGAAGAGTGGCACGTTCTTTATCCATGTTGATGGGTTGCGCGAGCAATTACTAATATACCCTCCTTTAGGTCATAATTTTGATTTTGATATTGTTTTAAAAGTTTTTAGGTAAAATAATTGTTGAATATTTTCATGATAATATAATAAACCGGCTTTAATATTTGCTCATATATTTCTCATTTCTTAATCTTACAAGGAAAATATTACATTATTATATGATATTTGTAATACTTAACAAATTTTCAGTCATACTCTAATAATTTCTAAAAAGATTTCCACTTTACTCAAAAGATATCCCTAGGGTGGAATCAAAAGTTTAATTTTATGAATTCTAAAATAAAACTTCAAGTATTAATAACTGAGTTCTAAATTTGATATTTTTACCTATTTAATAATTTTGTAAACATACATACATGTTTAAGAAAAACTTTGAGTTTGATCGAACCCGTATCCGAACTTATACTTTCACCCATGTTTTCTAGATGGAGAATGGTATGATATACTCCTCAACTTTGTCATTTAGAGCTAATATATCCCTTATTATGAAAGTAGCTCATATATACCCCAATTTTACACAAATGACTCATACATACTCTTTTCCTCCAAAGTGAGAGAAAAAATTAATTTTAAATTATTTTTTTATTAAAAAACAATTCATGTAGGCGTATATTTGAACATTTTCACAATTTTTTTTAAAATTCAACGGCTAATTTGAATTTATTATTTTGATGGTCAAATTTATTTACTTTTCACTTATTTTCTTATAAAATTTATTATATATGCCCCCAAAAAATTTACAAATATAAAAATTAAATTACAATATAGCCCCAAAAAGTTAGTTTTATATTTTTCTCTCTTTTTTTCATTCACATATCTTTTTTTGTATTTCTCTTATTTTTACATTAAAGAATGAAAGAAAAAATGAAATAAAAATAAGAAACTAAAATAATAATAATCAAAGATCAAATACATGATTTTTTTAACATCGAAAACGTGGATTGGATTGGTGTATACACCTGGTGCGGGTAAGTTTTACCTGTGAAAAAGATCAAATACATGATTTTTTTAAAATTATTAAAAATTAAAAAAATATAATTTTATTACTTTTATAACGGTAGAGATATATGTGAACTATTTTTACAAGCGTAAGGGGCATATGTAAGCCAATTTTGCAAACGTAAGGATATATGTGAGTCACTCTTGTAACAAGAGGTATATCAAGTTTAGACAAAGTTAAGGGTTATATTCCGTTTCTAGATAGTAGACCAAAAGGTCCTTGCAAGAGAAACTAAAAAAAAAAAGCTTATTTAACAAAGTTAAGCTTATTTTACTGAACGTACGGCAAAAATTTATACAATTTACCCTATATGCAGGTGGGAACTGCCTTTATACCAATTTCATGTCAATCAGAAATGTAAAGTTTGTTTAATGTGAAAGAATATTACAAGTACTGTGAAATCGAGAAAGTCGTGAAGATAGACATAATAAATAGATAGACACGTTAACTTGGTCTCGAAACTCAACTAACAACTAAACACTCACATCTAGACACCTCAACTCGTCTCCATTGTATCTGTTGAACACTTCAACTAACAATGTGCACCCATGGCAGCATTGATTGTCCATGAGACATGGTAGGGACGAGTTGGAGTGTTCAGTTGTCAGTTAAGGCCAAGTTTGAGTGTTTGTTTATGTATTTTGCCTAGAAAATAATGTGAAGAGAGCTTTGACAAACAGATACAGAAAGTGGAAAACCTGTATATATAGTAATTCATAATTATCTTGTTACAAAGGTCCCCATGAAAACCCGGGGAGCTTTTCTAGCTCTAACCTGGGACTACATGTCTTATCGGGTGCTCTTTCAACAGGCCCCGTTGATCCAAAGTGCAAATATTGTTGTACAGTTAGACCTCTTTATAACAATCATGTTTTCTATGGAATCGACTTTTTTGCTTGAGTTATATTATATGTTCCCTATAACAGCATTTTGCAACAACAACCAAAAAACTATCGGGACAAAAATGATGTTGTTATAGAGAGGTTTGACTGTACAAGCATGCATTGGAAGACAGATGAAGAGCTAAGCTATCTCTGAATGAGAGGTATGAGCTTTCCTCTGTATATGTGGGCTCATACCTGAAGTTTGGCACTCTCGGTTTACTCGTGAACATCGCGAACATGGATTTAATGGTGATGAACTTGGGGATTGATATTCGTATCCCTTTGAGACGATTGCTGGTGATCTTGAATATGTCTTTGGGGATCGTGTTGGAGAAGACATTGGCGATGAATGTATTCTATTAACTCTAGCTGGTGAAGATCTTGGTGAGTCGTCGATCAGTTTCTCTGCATAAACAATTTAAAATTAGACTCATGTTTGGATGTCCTCAGACACTAACTATTCAACTGAGATTAAAACATCAGACTGATTGAGAAACAAGTGACAAAATAAAACCTACCCCCTCCGTTTCAATTTGTTTGTTTAACTTTCCTTTTTTAGCCTGTTTCAAAAAGAATGTCACTTTACTTATTGGTAAATTCCACGTATCTTTAGTTTAAGAACACAAAATTCAAAAGTCTTATTTACTTTCTAAAATTCCGAGCCAAGTCAAAACCAGACAAAAAAATTGAAACGGGGGAGTGTTTCTTATTTCTTCCTCCTTTTTTGTGTATGTTTGGGGGGTGGGGGTGGTTAGTAGAAGAGCTAACCTGGTATAGTGCTAGTCTTTGTGTCCTGCACTTTGTTACGCGATGAATCTTTCTTGACTGCTGTCTTTTGGTTGATGGACTTGGATGCAGTTTTCTCGTGATTCTCGGATGACATTGAAATTTGATTAGAATCAGGAACTTTCTTATCTACAATGTTGAATAACTTTTGGTTTATTCTCCTGGTTCTCAAACTTTTCCTTTGCATCTCCTCGCCATGAAGTGGTTTGTCATTGGCAGCTAATGACTTTTTCCGATCTAAAGTCTTTGAACGTCGTAATTTCTGATCATCAGATGAATGTTTCTTCTCATGAGCCTCTGAACTGATTAGTTTCTGATCAACTGATTCATTTTTCTTTTCTTGAGTCTCAGAACTAGTCGGTTTCTGATCATAAGATAAATTTTTCTTCTCTGAAATCGGAGGAGATACCACATTTTGCTCAGCTGATTTCTTCGTCTCTGTAGTCCGTGGAGATACTAAATTTGGCTCAGCTGATTTCTTCGTCTCTGTAGTCCGTGGAGATACTAAATTTGGCTCAGCTGATTTCTTCGTCTCTGTAGTCCGTGGAGATACTAAATTTGGCTCAGCTGATTTCTTCGTCTCTGTAGTCCGTGGAGATACTAAATTTGGCTCAGCTGATTTCTTCGTCTCTGTAGTCCGTGGAGATACTAAATTTGGCTCAGCTGATTTCTTCGTCTCTGTAGTCCGTGGAGATACTAAATTTGGCTCAGCTGATTTCTTCGTCTCTGTAGTCCGTGGAGATACTAAATTTGGCTCAGCTGATTTCTTCGTCTCTGTAGTCCGTGGAGATACTAAATTTGGCTCAGCTGATTTCTTCGTCTCTGTAGTCCGTGGAGATACTAAATTTGGCTCAGCTGATTTCTTCGTCTCTGTAGTCCGTGGAGATACTAAATTTGGCTCAGCTGATTTCTTCGTCTCTGTAGTCCGTGGAGATACTAAATTTGGCTCAGCTGATTTCTTCGTCTCTGTAGTCCGTGGAGATACTAAATTTGGCTCAGCTGATTTCTTCGTCTCTGTAGTCCGTGGAGATACTAAATTTTGTTCAGCTGGTTTCATCTCCTCTGAAGTCGGTGGAGATGCTAAATTTTGTGCAGTAGCTATGCTTGATGAAGGTTTTTCATCAGCTGCTTTTGGAGACATTGCCTTCTCTTGGTTGGCTAAAAATTTGAGTCTTTGGTTCTTGCTAATCGATGAAATGATCTTTTTCTCTAGTGTGTCAATGCGTGGTGACCTATTAACTATTGGTGATGATACTGCTCCTTTCCTGTCCGGACTATCAGCAAAGAAAAGTGTTTCATCTGCTGTTGCCACAGACGAGAATCTCCTCTCCGGACTCTCAGAACCAACTGATGTTTGATCGAATAAGAGAAGCCTTCTATGTGGTATCTCGGAGATAGCTGACCTCTGATCAAACAATCTTGAATCTTTCCTGTCAATTATCTCAGAGCAAACTGACCTTCCATCACTCGGTGCAAGAAAGAGATCATCCATCGCAGACAATTGCCCGTCATCACTCAGCAATGATGCTCTCCTATGGACTGAAAAACCATCATTTGATGGATCCCAGTTCTTTCCAAAAATCTTCTCTTTCTCAATGAGCCGGTAAGCAAACATTTGAAAAGGAATCTGTGATACCGGGGTCAAACTCGTGCTCTCCTCTTCAGCAAACTTCTTCGAGTAGCTAGCCTCAATATCACAGTAGTCTACAAGTGGAGGGGCAGTTTCAGGCTGGCCATGTTCTGGATTTATGACAAGGACCTTCTTGATGTAACGTAAAATCCTGCATAGAGACGAGAAACGTGGACGAAGATTTGGATTGGCATGCCAACATCTTCTTGTTAAGTTCACAAGGTATTTAGGTGAAGGATATGGGAAGAGAGGCCTCTCCCCTGCTCTGATATTCCGCACGACTTTCTCCCCTTGCAAATGTCCTTCGTCAAACGGAACTTTCCCTGTCAAAATTTGGAAACAAATCATTCCGAAGCTATAGACATCAGCTTTCTCTGTGTACTTGTAGGCACACTTGCTTCCTGGTTTTTCTTGTTCAGCAAGAACTTCCGGGGCAAACCATATAACGGAATCAGCTGCATTGTGGCTGGCAGTCTTATAAGTACTTTTGATTGAAGTTAAGCCGAAGCCTTTGAGTTTCGCGTGAAAATAGCTCTCTGCTGAGGAATTCCTTGCTCTAAGAAGTACATGAGACGGGTTCAATTCTCCGTGATAAATCTTTCTCGAATGTAGATACTCCATCCCTTTTGCAATCTGAAGCATAATATCAACTGCAGCAGACGTTGAAAAAGGCGGTCTCTTCCTCTGACCAGAATGATCTTTTATGTATGTCGCAAGAGTATCATTCATCAGCTCCATAACAAGGTACCCTTCTTTCCTCTCTTCATCATAAAAACCACAGTGATATTGCAGAATGTTGGAATGGGATAAAGAAAACACCAAAGAAATCTCATCATGTAACGGTTCAACCTCTCCGAAAAAGTTCCTCAGAGCAAAACTCTCTCCTAACCACTGTATCTCCTTAACATGTCCGCCCCACGACCCTAAACGTCTCTTTACATGATAATCGTTTGATCCGACTAAGATTGAACTAGGCAACAATATCTTGTTAATTGGTTCAACACCATCTAATTTCCTTAACAATAAGTCTCCAAGCCTTTGTTCATACTTCAACAAAGTTTCTGTTTTCTTTTGCCTTATCACATCGATAAGCAACCATCTATCCTCTTTCCAACAACACTCCAACCGGCTACATATTTCGCGAGTTACCAAATACTGCTTCCCAGACATCCACTGGAAAAACCTCGGATCAATCAATTCCCTGTCGTATTTCCTCATTAACGCGGTTCTCCTCTGATGCATTTCCTCCTCATCGAACCCCGAGATTTCTGCAGCAGCCTCAATAGCTTCAATAACAACAGGGAAGCAACACAGCAAGTTATGAATATGAAACTCAACACAATCTCTGTTCATATGGAGACTTATGGCTTTCCCCCACAAATCTTTAACATCCAAACAATATTTTACGTAGGATTCGCCTTCTTTAAAGATCCTATGAAGCTCTTTCATAGGCAGCTCAAGAGCTTTCCACTTTATATTACTCTCATTTAACCTTAAATTATGTTTGATTTCTTCAGAAATTGTATCAAAAGAATGAACAAACATATCAAATAGAAAACAACATTGCCTTTGATTGATTTGGATATCATTTTTCAACACCATAAGAGCCTTCAAACTCCCAACTACTTCACCAATTTGCCTAAATTGATCCATTTACCTTTTATGAGTTGCAAAAAACTTCAATACAAGAAAGACCTACAATAATAACAAAGCCACAAAAGTTAGATTAAGCTCAACTCTAAATTACTAATAAAGTGAAAATATGCAATGACAATTCTACAATTGCACCAAATCATGGAAGGCCAAGATTCAAATCCCAAAAATGCTTTTTAAAAAGTTGTTTTGATAACCATGGTGTCCGGACCAACCAGTTTTCGCGCTTGTCGACTAATGCATGAGGTAGTTGCTACCTCCTACTAGCACATGTACATTTATCATGTAACTCCGTCCATCAAGACTTGACTAGATTGGAAGTGATCATTTAGTGTTTTTGTCTCGTTTGGGATTTGACCGAACCTTGTTGGGAAAAGTCGCTCAATGCCTATACTGGTGAAATGTAGCACATGCCTGATGAAATATTTGAGGTGTACGCAAGCTGACTTGGACATCGTCGTTATTTAAAAACTTTTAAAAAAAATTAAGGAATTCTACAATTGCAATGCATAAAAGCATTAAACATTCAAGAAAAAAAAAGTTGTGCTTCTCCCCATAATTGATACTCTTATCTCTATTTTATTAAACATGTATATTAATCTATTGAACATTAAATTAAAACTATATAGAAAAAAACAAGAAATTGCATCAAATGAGGATCCATAATATCAATCTATATATCATAAAATGAACATATCCTTAACAATATTTGCCCAAATATAAGCCACTTAAAAATTAAATTGAGGTTTGAACCTTTTTCAACAAGAAAAATACTGAATTTCTATTAGGTTTTTTTTTTTTAGAATAAACCCAATAAAAATTCAGCAAGAACCCATTCTTGATCAGATCAAATCACCACCTTCTTGACAATAATAATAACCTCCAGAAAAAAAAAATTAAAAATGCTAGAGAAAAACTAACCCCATCATTTGTGTATAATTAATGATAAAGGGGTAGTTGAAACAACACCAAAAAACAAAAAAAAGTTTTTTAGGCAAAAAAATGAGAAGCTTGATCAAACTTTTTGGAAATTGTAATGATCAAAGTTGAAAGTATGAGGTTGGTAATAAAAGTGACCAAAAAAAAAGGTTGTAATTATTTTGTATTTTGCATTTCTTTTCTTAATCGTGTTTTTAGCAAACTAAAGAATAATTTTGGAATGGTTTGATTCTTTTTTAATTCTATGTTGTCATGGCCATTGAAACTTCCGTTTATTTTGGGGTGATTTAATTATTATACCAAAAAATAGGATAAAGTATTTTTCAAATTATTCATTTTATAATAAATACAAATTTAAATAACTTCAATCAAGAAAAGGAAACAATATATGTTTTCTTTGTATTTTCTATTTTTTACACAAGGATGAAGTATTATTTAAGATGGTTATTTGATAACTATCCCTTATTTATATTTAACTTTGCAGGGAATGCTTATTCTATTTATGTCATTTCCATTAATAAAACACATCTATTAAGAACAAAATAAAAAAACAATTAACATGCCTTAAACTAAAAATAATAAATAATTTGAGATACTTATTTTTACCCGATATATAATTTAAGACGGAGAAAATATTTTAATTAGCATTGGTATAAAATAAGATTTTTTACAAAGAAATATCTAATTTTTTTTTGGTTCCCCACCCGATGTCCGGTGCCCACATTGGAGCTCCGACTAAATTTGGATCGCGCTCTGCAGGGCCCATTCGGGAGTGACGCTCCCAATAGGATTTTCTCTATACCCAGGGCTCGAACCCGACAACTCTGGTCAAGGGTGAAGCACTCCCACCAGTGCACCACAACCCATGTTGGTAAATAAATATCTAATTATAATACTAATTCATCTCTAGTTTGAAATAATTACTTATCATCTCATTAATTAATAATTTCATACTAGTTTTCAAGTTAGGTACACTCCTTTAAATTTCTCTTTCATACGCTCGCTCTCTCCCCCTCTTCCTTCTCTTCCTCTCTCTCCCTCTCTTTTTACTCTGTCCCCCCTAACTATCTCTGTACGGAGTGTACATTGATGTATATAATCAAATACATTTTTTTAATATTAGATACATGTATCTTTAATTCCAGATACATTTTGAAATGTATATGCATAATGAGAGAAGTGAATGAGAAAGCAAACATATATCTTTGATATTAAAAACATGTATTTTTTTATCAAATATATTTTGAAATGCAAATACATAAGAGAGAGACAAGTGAGAGACTCAGTATATCCTAACTACATGTGAATCACGTTTGGATACATTACATCCGGAACAAACTACGTCTAATTTGATCCACATGCATTCGAGATACATGGATACGAGTATCTGACGGAAAAAAGTGATACAAAAAGTGTTTTTCTAAAGTAATATGAGCACATGTAATTAAAATCTAAACTAGCGAGATTTGTATTGTTTGTTCATTTTCATTGGGAAAACTAGATAGACAAACATTCGTATCATATTTACTAATTCTGACTACCGTTTGAAATAATTACATATTATCTCACCAAATAATAATTTGATAACAGCTTTCAAGTCAGATACACCTTGATATATATATTTGTGATATCAAATACATTAAGACAGGAAAAGACGCGATCGAGATCCCTAGATACATGCGAATCATTCTTAGATACATGTGAATCACACTAAAAACATATATCCGGGATATCAAACACCGAGTGAGACAAGTGATACAGCAGAAAGACAAGCGGGAGAGTCAAAGACATGCAAATCCACTTGAATACAATATATCTAGAACAAATTACATATAATTTTTATATATCAGAGATACATGTATACAAACACATTAAATATATGCATTCAAAATTTAAAATCTAATAAAATTCATAATATTAAAAAAAAAAAAGGAAAAATTAACAATTAAGTCATAATACCTAACATAATTAGTCAAAATAACAACACTTTAAAATATTTATTTAAAATGGCAGAATGACAATATTTTTATAAAATAATATATATTCAGATTATAGTATTTTAAATTAATTTTATTTATTTTTATAAAATAATATGTATTCAGATTTTAGTATTTTAAATTAATTTTATTTATGGAAAGAGTCCTATATTTGACCAAATTATATATCAATAACCGTTTAAAGTGAAAAAAAATAACATTAAACCTATACCATTAACCTTTTTTCATCACCATTCACGTTTCTTTCCCAACTTTTACGTTTCTTCCCCACCTTTCACGTTTCAAGTTTATCTTTCTTCAAGGTGCTAAATTGTTGTTCATCAAGAATTTTTTTTTATTGTTAAACGAAATCTATTTATTAATTCAAGCAGATTTCTCGGTTGGCAAGATAATTTCCATTATCCATTTCGATTAGTTATTTAGATTTCTTTTGATTTGTTTTCAATATCACCGTTTATGGTTTATATTTCGCATTGTACATATTACGGATTTTTCGTCAATTTTTTCGATTTTTATGAAAGTTTGTTTACATATTCATCTAATATTTATGTATTTCAATTAGTTATTTAGATTTCTTTTTGATTTGTTTTCAATATCACCATTTATGATTTATATTTCGCATTGTACATATTACGAATTTCTGTTAATATTTTCGATTTTCATGCAAGTTTGTTTACATATTCATGTAAAATTTATGTATTTTAGATTTTTAGTCGATTAAACAAATTTTTTTCGATTTTTTTCTGATTTCATTTTAATATTTCAGATTTATTAGAATCTACAAATTCATTCATATGTTATTTTGTCTGTATTTTTAATACATTTATATTTGCTTTTAGGGTTTTAGATTTGGGGAAAGCATTTGTCTGTGTTACAATGTCTGAATCAACAGTTTATTTGTGTATTCATTTTTATCTATATATCAACAAGTTTTTACATTTTTTGTTTTTTACATTGTATTTCAATCTCAATTAGTATATCAGCATGTTTGTATTTCCTTCTTAATTTGTATTCATCGTAACTGTATGCTAACAATTTTGTATTTTATTGGGTATTCATTCTGTATTTCAATCTCAATTTATATGTGAACAAGTTTTGTATTTCTCTTTTGTTTTGTATTCAACCTAATTGTATACCAACAAGTTTTGTATTTTATGTGCCTATTTTACCTTTCAAAAGTCACTTTGCATTTCAAATGAAGAGAGTATTTAATTTCTTTTGTATTCACAACTTTATATTCAATCTCACTTTTGTATTTAATAACTTGTATTTTCATCTCACTTTTTGTATTCATATATTGTTGTATTCAACATAGTTCATGATCCATTAGTTTGTAATTTTACCTTTCAAAATCACTTTGTATTTCAAAATGAAGAGAGTTTCTTTTGTATTTCACAACTTTATATTCAATCTCACTTTGTATTTATAATTTTGTATTTTCATCTCACTTTTTGTATTCATATATTGTTGTATTCAACATATACATCATGGTCGATTAGTTACATTAACTTAATGGGATACAAATTATTGTATGCATTCAAACAGAAAAAACAGCTACTAAACTAAAAAAACAATTTCATTCGTTATACATCATAATTTGGATACAAAATATCCGAAAAAAGCTATAAATCCCAATGCATACAAACATTTCACTGATTCAATCAGGAAAAAAAACACTCTTGTACTCGACATATACGAATATCTCATTCAAACAAATAAAAAAATCTAAAAAAATACCTGATTGTTTTTCGATTGTTCACTAGATGCGACAAATTTTATAGTTGTCAATTTTTGAAAAATTTATGTTTCAAAAATATGTCGTATTCAACTTGAAGAAGCTTTGAAAATTATCAGATGAATGATTCGGAAGACAAACTATATTATTTTAATTTTTTGTTTTGATGTTCTTAAGAAGAAAGCAAAAAAACGCTCGACGGAAAGATGACTATTTATGCTCTTTTTAAACGTAACTGATTTGTATTTAAAATATCTTTTACCTTTTTCAAATTTTTTCGTTCCATGATTTTTTCTGTTCTGTTATTAATTATTTGTATTCTTTCAAATTAATCAAAATAAAATAAATACATAACTAATCTCTTAACAAACTAAAATAATGAGATTTTTAATAAATAATGAAACTGTTGCTAAGGAGTCTCATTAAAATCTAAAATATTGTTGTTTTGAAAATTTTCCCAAAAAAAACTAACGTGAATCTAAGTAATTAACTCATTTATCCAATCCGCCCATCGTATTGTATAAGCCCAGACTGGACCCGATCCGACTGTAATAATCTAGAAGGAAATTGTTGTTATTGTGAGATTTAAAAGGAAACTTTTCTCAGTTCTCTCTCTATAATTTCTCTCTGCTTACGGCCCTCTTTCGAGATCTTCGTCGGAGGCTGTTCGCAGAGAGAATAATAATAATAATAATAATAATAATAATAATAATAATAATAATAATAATAATAATAATAATAATAATAATAATAATAATAATAATAATAATAATAATAATAATAATAATAATAATAATAATAATAATAATAATAATAATAATAATAATAATAATAATAATAATAATAATAATAATAATAATAATAATAATAATAATAATAATAATAATAATAATAATAATAATAATAATAATAATAATAATAATAATAATAATAATAATAATAATAATAATAATAATAATAATAATAATAATAATAATAATAATAATAATAATAATAATAATAATAATAATAATAATAATAATAATAATAATAATAATAATAATAATAATAATAATAATAATAATAATAATAATAATAATAATAATAATAATAATAATAATAATAATAATAATAATAATAATAATAATAATAATAATAATAATAATAATAATAATAATAATAATAATAATAATAATAATAATAATAATAATAATAATAATAATAATAATAATAATAATAATAATAATAATAATAATAATAATAATAATAATAATAATAATAATAATAAGAAGAAGAAGAAGAAAGGAATTGATTGAAAGAGAGATTAGCAAAATATACAAAAATGACAATGAGATCTGGAAAATTGCTTTTCAGTTTCGTTGTAGCATTTGCTTTGGTTTTCTCGGCCTTTTTTCCGGCCGTTCAGGCACAAGAAGGTTTAGCTCCGGCACCTGCTCCGGCCAGCGACGGTAAGTTTTGTTTTTTCATTTTAATTTATTAAAATGGGTGAGGATTCATGTTTCAAAAGCAATTAATGGGTAGTAATGTGTATGTATTGAATTTGAGACAGATATTATACTGGATCCGTCAAATTCATGACTGCTTGAATTTGTTTGTTTGATTAATTTGGACGCAAAATAAATCGATCAATACCGGAAGATAATATATGTTTTTTTTTTAAAAAAATGTATACATATGTTATATTGATAGGTTTGGATTTAATTTTAGTCATGTCAAAAGGAGAGCCTTGGTGGTTTGAGATGTGGAAATAGTTTCTTGCAGAAATGTAGTGTAAGGCGCTTGTGGAAATAGCCTATTGCAGAAATGTAGGGTAAGGCGGCTTAGAATAGACCCCTGTGTCTGGTCCTTCCCCAAATCTGGTGCATAGCTGGAGCTTGTGGAAATAGCCTCTTGCAGAAATGTAGGGTAAGACGGCTTATAATAGAGCCTAGTGTCCGGTCCTTCCCTGAATCTCAGGCATAGTGGGAGCTTAATGCAGGTTGCCCCTTTGTTAGTATGTTTACATTGGATATTTTCATCATAGATCTCTAAGGTCTATTGAAAACAACCTCAAACTCTCGCCCCACAAAAGTAGGAATACGGTATGCCTATACCCTACCCTCTCCAGATCCCACTTGTGGGATCGCATTGAGTTTGTTGTTGTTATAGTATGTTTACATTAGATTCAATCGGTGGCAGAGTGGGGATTCAAAAAGAATCTAAGAAAAGGCTACACTTGGATTTAAACTTGTATTTCTCTTATGTTAAGGTGATTAGAAATTTTATGCATGTCTAAGAAGTTCATCTTCATGACTTTTTGGTATTGAATCCCCTTGTTTGCATGTGGCTCTACTGCTGGTCCAATGTTTGTTGAATCTTTTAATCTTAACCCTAGGCAAATTACTCTTATTTGTAATATTGAATTAGATTGGGTATGAATGGAGCAATATGAACAGTAAGGATCCATATAAACGACTCTTAACTTGTTTGTAATTAACGCTTAGTTAGTCGTTGGAAGCTGTGTGTGTGAACTGTGAAGACAATTGGTGAAGCTGAATCCATTGCTTAGATGCCGGAGTTTCTAGTTAGTTGTTTGTTTGCATTTAGAATTTGACTATTTCTTGGTGTGATTTTGATTATGGTCGTGGATACTGGATAGATTTCAGTATGCAATAGCTTAGTGATGTGAATATGTTAGCCTTCTTTCTACTTCAACATCAACTTCTTTAGCTAACTTATTGATCCTCACCCATATTTCTCTGCCTATTAGGAGGATTATGTGGACTCATGTGATATGTTACGAACCATTTTCATTATTTGCTATATCGAACTTATATTTGAAAGTTTGGATGGGATCTCAAAGTACATAGCATAGATAACAAATTCATATTTATTGTTGAGATTCTAAGTTTTCTCTAATGAATAATTTTCTTCTTTGGATGGTAAGGAAATATCAAATCCCATGAATTCTCTTGCAAATTTTTTTCTCATTGAAATAGATAGCAGTATTTATCCATTTCTATCCAAGTTTTGGTTTGTGTTGAACATATATGTTGGTATTTGTTAACCCTATATGTTGCTCGGACTCTCTAAAACTGTCTCCACACCCGTGTTGCATCCTAAAAAATGCATTATTATTGGGGTACCCAACATATATCCGGCAACATTTTTGAAGAGTTTGAGCAATAGATTTACACCGGGATGTATAGTATAATTTGCTGCAAAATGCAAATATCTTCTTATAGTACTACTTATGGTTTCACGTGAATTAGTAGTTTTTTTGCTCAGACTTTATATTTGTATTACAATGTATATTAATTTGAGGTCGTTATAGAATCTCATAAGTTTCAAATTCTGAATCCATTTTTGTACGAAAGTATTTTAATTGATGTGTTGTAACTGTTTTGCAGGTACAACAATTGACCAAGGGATTGCATGTGTATTAATGTTGTTGGCCTTGGCAGTGACATACCTTGTTCATGCTGCTGATGTTCCTTTTTAATTAACTTCTAAAAATAATGGGTTTATTGAACATCATTGGTGTTGTGAGTGCCTAGGTTTATGGAAAATTTTACAAGGTTTTTCTTGATATCATATTGTTATTATACCTAGGACACTTATATTTAGCTATTCGTATTTAGGAACAATTTAACTTTGACGAGCATATCTTTTTTGAGGTTCCAACAATATTTATATAACACTCTTGGTTAAGCTTTTTCATTGTTCTTTGTACGGATAAAATTATCCAATACATTACGAAATCAATTGAGATACCATTTTATCCAATATGTTACGAAATTAATCGAGATGCATGCAACACACATGTACCATGTTTAAGTGTACGTGAAGATATCACAAGAAATGACATAACTTTAGATGATTAGAGAAGACATTCAAAACTAGGGAAGATAAGGTAAGTTTGTAAGATCATTTTGGCTGATGAAAGAAATTAGCTTAAGGTAAGTGTTACTCCCTTGTTTCAATTTATCTTTACTTTCTGTGTTAAAAGAATTTATTTTTTAATATTCTTTTTTACCTTTATTTACACCCCTTGTATGAACATATTTCTATATTCTTGAACTTCGTATTCAATTAAATTAAAACGCATAAAATAACTCTAAGAGAAAAAAGATGTACCAATTATGAGTCTCATGTTCAGATCCAAGGTAGAGATAAAAACACTAGGTAATCCAAACCAGGATCATCAAAGTCATACGATCCCTATACTAATGATAAATTAGTCTAGTGCATGTTAGCAAATTCAAACATCACCATTATTGAAACAGAAATTAAGGAAAAAAAAAGTACAAGATGGGCATTTTGGATTGATAAAAAATTTTGAAAAATATTTTCTTTAAAAAAGCAAGCTCCATAAAATAAGGAAAATAACGTCCCAACTGTTGCATTATCTCCTGAGTAATTTCCCTGGATAGTCACCCATGTTTGGGAAATTACCTTGGAATATCATTTATGTTTGTTTTAGGACCACAATATCACCCAACTTTACCTCTTTTCCTCAAAATATACTTACACAAAAAAATATTATATCTCTCCTAATAGGATGCCATGTCACATTATTCCTTTTTCATTATTAACATTTTTTTAAAAAAATTTAGACAACCCATATTACCTAGTAAAAAAAATTACATAGCCCAAAAATTTCTACCCTAGTTCTAGGGGATTAGGCGGCAAATCCAAATATGAGCTCCTTTGATTCTTCAAGAAAATATGTGGCTTCCTCCGATTTTTCAAGCGAGATAATGTTTTTATATGGGCACTAATGGGCAATGACACCTTTTTGTTGAGTTCAGAGCCAAAAGTGCAACTTTTTTCTTTCAAAAAACAAAAACGGCACATCAAAAAACAAATTAACCAAAAGGGCAAAATCGCTCTTGACGGAGCGATTTTGTTCTGACAAAAATTGACGCCTCTCCGCTAAAAGAAATAAAATCGCTGCCAATTTTCTCAAAAAAATATTTTTTCTTTAAAATCGCTGCTATAACAGCGTTTTTATATTAAAAAAAATTAAAATAGCAGCGATTTTGTTTAAGAAATTTAAAAAAAAAACTTTTGAAGTTAAATCGCTGCTATAATAGCGTTTTTATATAAAAAAAAATTAAAATAGCAGCGATTTTGTTTAAGAAATTAAAAAAAAAACTTTTGAAGTTAAATCGCTGCTATAGCAGTGATTTTGTTTAAGAAATTATTTTTTAAAAAAAAAAAAATCCTACCCTTACAGAGAATTTAATAAAAATTAAAACTGAAGCCAGCGATTTTCATAAAAAGCTTTTTTTTTTTTAAATCTTTACCCTTTCAGCGATTTAAATGAAAATTTTAAAAAAAAAAAAAACTGAAAATCGCTGCTTCGCCAGTGATTTTTCTTTTAAAAACTTGTTTTTTTTTAAATGGCTGCCGCTGAAAATTTATGTAATTTAAAACTTGTTCTTTATGTTTTTTTTAATTCCTTAA